AAAAAAAAGATCTCCAGCCTTGGAAACCCTATAGGGGGGTGCTATGAATAGAAACTGAGTCGGTGGCTGTGGGTTTGGATTTGGGGAGAGATTCGTGGGGATTCCTAACCCATGCAAACACACTCTCTGCTCCCCCAATCTATCAGCAAAGCCTGTCAACTGGACTTCCAGAGTCTGTCTAAACTCCGCGTACCTCTTGGCATCTTCATGACAGCCCTTGGCCAAAGTACCTTCCTCTCTTCCCGTACGTGCTCCTGCAGCAAGTTCACCACCAGCTTCTCCGCCTCCTCTTCCTTCCTGCAGTGCATTCTCCATGCAAGCAGAGCGCTCCACTCAAAACGCACAGCAGATACCAGGCCCCGGGGCACAACCTTCAACAACTTCAGCTGACCAACGCCAATCTCCTTTTACCCTGCTCTGCCAGCCCTTAGATGAGCCAGCCTCCTCCAGACTCATCTGGAGCCATGCCAGGCTCCTGGGCTCTTTGAACATGCCCTGGTCTCTCACCCTTTGCATAAACTGCTTCCTCTCTGGTCCACTTCCCCCTAACTTCACCCACTTACATCCTCCTCACAACTGGGTCTCAGCTTGAGACCACTGCTCCCATACCAAGCGGCCTTCCCTGAGACCCTCAACTCCAAACAGGTCAAACCCTTATGTGAAACCCATCTAGAATGCCCTGCTCATCTCCTTCCCACAAGTATGCGATTACATGATCACATATGTGTGAAATGACTCGATGCCAGTCCATCTTTCCAGCCAGGCTATGTCCCACGTGGGGTCTGCTCAGCACCGAACCCTCTGGAGTAGGCTCAGTGCCTGACATACAGTACACATGAGGCAAAAGCTTGGTGTGTAAATACATTAATAGGCTAAAACTCTGTGTGTGTGTGTGTGTGTGTGTGTGTGTGTGTGTGTGTGTGTGAATATTCCAGGCTATTGCCAATGGCCTCAAGGATGCAAGAGAACTGTACCTCCTGCAAAAATAAGAATAAAAAACAATGTTGTTTTCCTCTCCCCGAGTTTCTCTATGAGGAACCCTGGGGGCTGAGTGGTTGTG